GCGTCCTCTTCCCGCGCTACCTTTCCAGAAAGTACGGAAGCTGGCCATCGCGGCGACTGCCGCGACGCAGGTCGCAGGCGCGGTTCGCGGACGCGGGCCGCGTCTTACGGGTCGCTTGTCGCAGGTCGCAGGCGCGAGTCGCTAGCGCGGGTCGCGGGCCTTTGTCGTGGTCGCAGGTCGTGGCTCCGCAGGAAGCTCAGGTTGATGGGCTTGGACGACCTGCGGAAGAAACGCCGCCCACTGGGGAAAACTGCGCACACCGCAGGGGCGAAGCAGGTTCTGAAGACCGAGGAGGCCCAGACGGTGGCCAAGAACGTCGCAGGGCGATTCCGCAAGGCTTGCAAGCAGGTGGTGGACCGCGGCGGGGCTGCGGCCGACAATTGACTTATCGGGCTGAACTGCCCCCCCAAGATGGCATGTGAATGCGGCTTCCTCTTCAAATCTGAAAGATGCAAATCGCGCGCTCCATTTCACGACGCAGCGCCGGGGGGGCATTGAGCCCGCCTTTGCGCGGGCGCGAGCGCGAAGAGTCTGAGATGATCCTGAGAGGCTCCGGAGAAGCTCCCAAGGGGCTCCTCCGATGCTTCTGAGAGGCTGCTGAGGACGGCGCTGATCGCACCTCATGTAGCCGAATCCCACCTCCGAATCTTGCCTGCGGCGGCCGCGCTCCTGCTCCGAATCTTGCCCATCGACGTCCCGAATGGGGCTCCGAATCGCGCCGCGTAAGGGCTCCGAATCTTGCCCGTCGACGCCTCGGACGGTGCTCCGCACTGTTAAAAACAAGACCGAAGATAATTCACCCAACTTTCGCTAATGATTCGGCCGATGTGAAACTGCCATCTTTCGGGGCAGCTTTCGGCGGCCTCGTCCGGTGGCATCTCGGGGGGCAAGCCCAGCGCGCGCGGGTGGCCTGTGTACTTGGGGCCCCGCGGACCCCGCGTCCAGAGCCCTCGACTCAAGGGCGCAGATCTCCTTTGATTCTGGGGCCAGGGCCCACGGACTCCGCGGCGGGGCCCAGGCGAGTCGGGGCCCGACCACGTGCTGCGGCATCGCGAAGTGCGCCCAGCAACGCAAAAGAAACCGCGCGCAAGAACGACATCGAGCAAACAAATAAGCAACCCGGAACATAGCAAAATTCACAGACGTTTCGCTTGGGGTCCTGTTCAGCCCGATGACTTATTGCACTGAGGGCATCGCGGCGCGACGCGCGCTGCCATTGCTTGGATTTGCTGGGCTGAGACTGCCACGCGGAGCATAGTCGGATGATGTCCCTGCGCGAGCTGCGCCGCCGCTGCAGCGCCGCGTTCGAGGGAGATCAGTCGATGGAGACAACTGCAAAAATACACACCGCCGTGACACAAGATTCTGCGGTTTTATGATATGTTGGAATCTCCTATCCCTCTGAAGATTCCTAACATTGACATGCGTCCTCCGCGATCCCGCGGAGTAATTCGTCTACCTCTAACTAGTAACATTGCGATCTCAAAACAGGATCGGAAATTACTCCGCCCATTCCTATATGAAAAATGGAACGGGATGCATGTCCACGCGGAGTAATTTCTACTCCGCCCACTCCGTTTACTCCGCCAGTATGAGGTCATGTTGAATGAAGACCGCAAAGTACTTTTGTCGCGGCAATGGGGAAAAATGCGTTGCACTTCGTTTTTCCTCGGCTGCATCCGCCTCAGGCTAAACAGTGTATGCTCGCGCCGACAGGGATGAAGCGATGGCGTTCGTCGTCGTCGCCGTGCACCGTTTCGAGGGGGGCGCCATTCGCCATCGTTGCTGTTGCCGCAGGGTGCAAGCGCGCGTGCATCCTCTTCCCGCGCTACCTTTCCAGAAAGTACGGAAGCTGGCCATCGTGGCGACTGCCGCGACGCAGGTCGCAGGCGCGGTTCGCGGACGCGGGCCGCGTCTTACGGGTCGCTTGTCGCAGGTCGCAGGCGCGATTCGCTAGCGCGGGTCGCGGGCCTTTGTCGTGGTCGCAGGTCGTGGTTCCGCAGGAAGCTCAGGTTGATGGGCTTGGACGACCTGCGGAAGAAACGCCGCCCACTGGGGAAAACTGCGCACACCGCAGGGGTGAAGCAGGTTCTGAAGACCGAGGAGGCCCAGACGGTGGCCAAAAACGTCGCAGGGCGATTCCGCAAGGCTTGCAAGCAGGTGGTGGACCGCGGCGGGGCTGCGGCCGACAATTGACTTGTCGGGCTGAACTGCCCCCCCAAGATGGCATGTGAATGCGGCTTCCTCTTCAAATCTGAAAGACGCAGATCGCACGCTCCATTTCGCGACGCAGCGCCGGGGGGGCATTGAGCCCGCCTTTGCGCGGGCGCGAGCGCGAAGAGTCTGAGATGATCCTGAGAGGCTCCGGAGAAGCTCCCAAGGGGCTCCTCCGATGCTTCTGAGAGGCACCTCATGTAGCCGAATCCAACCTCCGAATCTTGCCTGCGGCGGCCGCGCTCCTGCTCCGAATCTTGCCCATCGACGTCCCGAATGGGGCTCCGAATCGCGCCGCGTAAGGGCTCCGAATCTTGCCCGTCGACGCCTCGGATGGTGCTCCGCACTGTTTTAAAAAAAAGACCTAAGATGATCCACCCAACTTTCGCTAATGATTCGGCCGATGTGAAACTGCCATCTTTCGGGGCAGCTTTCGGTGGCCTCGTCCGGTGGCATCTCGGGGGGCAAATCCAGCGCGCGCGGGTGGCCTGTGTACTTGGGGCCCCGCGGACCCCGCGTCCAGAGCCCTCGACTCAAGGGCGCAGATCTCCTTTGATTCTGGGGCCAGGGCCCACGGACTCCGCGGCGGGGCCCAGGCGAGTCGGGGCCCGACCATGTGCTGCGGCATCGCGAAGAGCGTCCAGCAACGCCAAAGAAACCGCGCGCAAGAACGACATCGAGCAAACAAATAAGCAACCCGGAACATAGCAAAATTCACAAGGACGTTTCGCTTGGGGTCCTGTTCAGCCCGAGCCATTGGCACCCGCTTCTCCCTCCCGAGCCCAAGGCCCGTGCCTCCTGTCTCCGTCGCAGCGCGGCAAAGGCAATCCGCACGCTCGCGCGAATAGCCCTGGCGAGGCGTACCAAGTGTCCGGCGGCCCGAGAGGGAGAGGAAAGAGGAGGGCGGCCGCAGGCGGGCGAGGGAGGAGGGCACCCACCGCAGGAAGAACTTCGGCAAGAGTGGCCGGAGCGGCCAGGCCCTAAGGCCCGTGTCTCCGTGTCTAGAGGCCTCCTGGATGGGGTCCGACTAGATGTGGTACATCGGCGATACGTCGGCGATGCATCGCCGATACATCGGCGATGAATCAGCGATGCATCGGCGATACATCGGCGATGCACCGGCGATGCATCAGCGACGTCGGCGATGCATCCGCGGCGTCGGCGTGAGTGAAGCAAATCGGGCTGCACATCGAGCCGCATCGGCGATGCATCGGCGATGCGACGCGATCCTCCGACCCCAGCAACTCCGACCCCATCTGGGAGGTCTAGAGTGTCTCCAGGTCGCCGCTGCTCTCTCCACGCCTTAACCCCCCGTGGGGGGGCCGCTCCCGGGGCCCACGGGGCCGTCGGGAGGCTGCCCCTCGCAGGGGGGCACGCGGCGGGCCCCCGGGGACGGGACGTCCGGAGGCCTGGGAACGAGTCTGGCACGAGCCGTCACGCACGGGCACTGCACAACAGAGGATATGACGACCGCTATCCCAAGCTTCGTGGGGGGGCTTCGAATGGACCAAAAATTGTGGGGCCCAACCCTGGGATATACGATGGGCCATCCTCGATAGGGGTGCGTCCAAATAGCCCCCTGGTGCTATGTGGTCCTCATCGTACTTAAGGACCACATCCCAGCAATTGTTTCGAGCACCCAGGCAATGTCTACCCGACACGCTAGCGAAATGTCGAACGAATATCATATCCCAGGGCCCGACACATGCAAACCCTCAAATTTCTGTACTTGCTTTGCGCTCGAAATTCTTGCTGGTGATGAAGGCTAATCTAGGCTGGGACATCATAACCCTGGGGGTGTATCCCAAGGTTTCCCCCTTTTTTCTGGGCTGCGGAACTTTTCGGGCGGACTTCAGGGAGTTGGAGGGAAGAATCGCCTGCGACCGGGGCGGACATCCTGCAACAAAACACGGAAATGCTGTGACGTCTATCAGGAGCACATTCATAAACGCACACGTGCACCACGTGGACCCGCCGTCCACCGTCCACCGATGAAAGGGGGATGGGGGGTAAAGATGAATGCAGAATCGCATCATGCTGCGTACAAGACCGTGGCGTGCGCCGCCTGCGTCTTCAGCGCGTGCGACCCAAAGCCCCATAATCTTCTGGCATCTCGCAGACAGCTTCGCACCCACGATACAGGAAAGAAGTAGGAGACGCCATTTCAACGCGGGATTGGCCCCATCGAGGCATTCCCCCACACCCACCTCGACATCCACGCGCTCACGACGCCATGTGTAATCACGATGAACCTCCGAACACCAAAGCATCGCAACCGATAGGGCGAGCAAGCAGGCAAGCATGCAGCACGTAGAATGGATGGAGGCAGTCAGCTACCAACTTTACTGTGCACGACGTGATCATGTCGCTTTGACACTGAATCTAGATGCAACCATCCTCCACATCTCACCATTGGCGGCGCGCACCGGGGGGTAAAGTGAGGGGGGGGAACTTCTTCGAAGGAGACTGCTTCTTAGAAAGCGCCGGCCCAACATCTGCAGATAAGGCCCGCGCCTTCTAAGAAACAAGGGTGCTTCGAAGAAGCCATCCCCCTTCCGCTACCCCTTATCCCCCTCTGCGAGTGGCCGACACTACACATGCTGTCATCAACATTCCAGACAACATTGAGGTTACAATGCTTTCTCAGTTCTTAGAATGGCACTAAGCATTGTTGACGATTATTGGCATATGGTTTAACTTCACCGATAGGAGACTGGGTGTCATCATACAGGACTCTATATTCGTGTGCGAAAGAAGCGCGCACCTGATGCCCGATCGCATTTTTTAACGCCCGCGAGCAAGCTTGCGCCGTGCAATAGATGCATCTGTAGACGCGAGAACTATGCTCTGGTTTCCGCTACGAGATGCCCTGAATCCACGGGTCCCTGGCTGAGGTCATGCCGACAGGCTCATGCCAAATGGAAATGCTTCTGCTCCACCGCCTGAGACAACTTTCTCAGTAGCGTCTGCGCTGAGCCATACCTGACGGGCAAATCCAGCTGCAAGGTGCAGGTGTGCGCTACTGGCAGGCTCTCCACGGAGCTGGTCAGCCTGATGGTCATTTTCCTATGCGGGGGAGGGAAGCCGCCTGTAGAAGCCTCCTCGATGGGTTCCGAGTAGATGAGGTCGGCGGATCGCGCTGCATCGCAGGTGAATCGGCGATACATCGTCAATGCATCGGCGACGTCGAGGTACATCGGCGCAGACGGCGTGGAGAAACTGGGTCTCCACATCGAGCCGCATCGGCGAGGCATCGGCGATGCGATGCGATCCTCCGATCCCATCTACTGGGGCCACATCTGGGAAGCCTAGAGCCTGGTGGCAGCCGCTGGAATCCGGTGATCCACTCCAGGAGGGCGGCCCGCCCCTCGGCGCTCAGGGCAGCGGCGTGCGCCCAGAACCAGTCCAACGTCTCCGACCCTTCCTTTGCAAGAGTCTCGTCGTCGATTTCGACTTCAGTCAGCTCCATCCATTGCTCGACGGGGACCTCTGGATCGCCAGCGATCCTCTGCTGGAGTGGACTAGGCTCGAAAGCGAGGCGCCGCCGCTTGGCCTGTGGGCTCTCTGGCGGCGCGCCACCTTCTTGACCTCCTGGCGCAGCCGCGCCTGCAGGTCGCCCCCGACCGGTGGGTAAATGTAGCGCTGATGCAGATGATTGGCATGAGCGAGACGGGTCGTGAGGAAAACGGGTCCTGGACCCCCGGGCTTTCCCCAGGGGCCCCAGTCCTCAGGGGCCAGCTCTTCATCCCGAGTCGTTTGTGGAAGGCCCCAGGGCGCCCCGAGGCCCTCGCAGGCCTAAAATGGCGAAACATGTCGGGACTCCGTTCCCTTACGACACGCTTCCTCCATGGCGAAGATGAGCATGAAGACGACGGCGGGGCGCCCAGGCCGGAGGGCGGCAGTGTGGCTGCCCACGGCGTGGCGGCCTGTTCTCCGAGCTCGCCCAGAGAGCCAAGGCCATCAGGCGCCGACCCCGGCGCGAAGGCGTGCGGGCCGGCGGCGGACGCGCGGGCAGCGCGCCGTAGCAGCGGCGCGGCCGCGGCGCTCGAGCTGGGCGGCGGCGCCGAGGCCCACGGCGCAGCGGCGGGCGCGCCAGCGTCCCCAGAGGGCCCCAGGTCGCCATGCGCCGCCGCTGGCGCGGGGGCGGCGGGGCCAGCGGTGGCCGCGCCTACGGGGAGCGGCGCGCGCGGCGGGGTGGAAGCAGAGGCCTGGCCGGCGTCCGCCGTCCGCAGCCGCTTCCGCAGCCGTGCCTCCTCCTCGTCCTCGACGCACTGCCGCAGGCGCTTGCTGGAGCGCGCCTCCCTGGCGAGGCGCGGCACCTTTACATGCGGGATGGAGTGGAGGCCCCGCCATAACGCGAGGGTCTCCTCGCGCACGTCCAACAGCAGCTCGTCCAGCGCGCGCCTGGCCATGTGCTCGGGCAAATTCTCGAGCGTCACCGGGGCGTCGTCCACGGTCACGGCCCCCGCTGCCTCCACGAGGCCCGCCCTGTCCGACGCCGGCAGGTCCTCGGACAGGCAGCGGCTCCAGTACGCGTGCTCCTCCGGGCTCGCCCAGATCAGCCACTCCCGCGAGAAGCCGAGGAGTACCTGCTCGGCGGCCGCCTTCAGCCGCCTCACCGCTCGCCCCCTAGCCGCGAGCCGCAGCTGTAGGCGCTCCCAGCCAGCCGAGCGCCTGCCCGAAGGCGGGGCGCCGCCGGGCGGCCCTGGAGCGGCCGCGCCTCCGAGCCCCGCGTGCACCGACTCCAGCGCCTGCGGCAGGCGCCGGTGTGCGAGCAGGTGCGCGAGTGGCGCGCAGAGGTCGACGCCCAAGGGCTGCCCGGCACGCAGTGCCAGGCCCACGGCCTTGCCGACCGCTTCCAGCCTCGCAACGCTGGCGCCCTTCTTCAACCTGGCATACGCCCTGCCGTTCACGGTCGCCGTGTCCACGAGGCCGTTCGCAGGGTCGAAGGCCTCGACGATGAATCTGTTCAGCCAGTCTCTCCCCATACCGCCGGCGTCGATCCCGTCCTCCGCAAGCTCGGGCGACCTCCTGCGCGAAGCCCTCCCCGAATCGACAAAGGCTACGGCCGGGATGCCGCGCCGCAGCTCCGCCGGCGGCAGGGATGACAGGGCCTCGACGGAGGAATCCAGGAGGCGCGCGCGGTCGATCTTCATCGGCTGCACGTAGGCGCCGACATCCGAGAGCACAGACTCGCTGAGCTTCGTCCACCACAGCGCACCTGGCCCGAGCATCAGCAGAATGGTGCAGAGGTCGAACCGCAGGTTACTGGAGAGCGAGCACAGGGCGAGGGACAGCGCGCACGCGCAGCCCGCCGCGGCGCGGAGACCCGCGCGCTGCCAGCCACCGTCCCGCTGGGCCGCCTCCACGAGCAGCCTCGCTGGCAGCGTGCAACCCCGCAGCGCGTGCCTGGCGCACGCGATCCGCAGCAGGGCGCCGGCCAGGTGACTTCCCGCGGGCACGCCGAGCGCGTCGGCGGCGAGCACCAGCGCGATGCCGATGACGACGAGCCCGACGAGGACGATGCTCGCCAGCAGCTCTGGAACCTCAGACCACGGGAACGGCCGCCTGACCAAAATCCTCCGGAGGAGGGCCCAGTCGGCCCAGAGGCTCAGCGCGCCAGCGTTGACGAAGGCGACCACCCACCAGAGCGAGTCTGGGGCGAGCGACAGCAGCGACGCGACGGCCTCGAGCCAAGGGCAGAGAATCCAGGCCGCCGCTGGCGACCACGCCCCCCATCGAGTTGCCCCCCGCACGGCGCAGCGAAGCGACTCCACAACTCTGCCTGGGAGGACGGAGCAAACGAACGCGCATGATCACAAAAAGCCTGGTACGCCCGCGGGCAGCTTGTATCCGCCCGCGCCGCCCCCCCTCCCTTTTTCCCTATAGGGTCCCAATCCGAGCCCACTCGGCGTCCGAGCCTGTTCGGCCGCCGAGCGGGCTCACGATCGAGCCCACTCGGCGGCCCAGCGGGCTCAACGCCCACCACGGCATAGGAACTGAGTCCCGTCGGCTGCCCGTTCGGCGGCCCGACGGGCCCAGATGCCGAGTGGGCTCAGGAGGGTGAGGTAGGCCCTGCCCTTCCTCCACCGCTCCGCACACCCGGGCCTTCTGCGGGTCTCCAGAAGTCTGCAGGGAGCCCAGTGAGGCAAGCCCTGCCCCTCCTTTACCCTGCAGCCCGCGAGGTGCGCCCACAGGGCGGCGCTCACGTGCGGGGAGGAGGCCCGGCGCCGGCGGAGAGCGTCCGCGGGCGCCAACGGTCCTGATTGCGCGCTTGCTCCGGCCTCCCGTCTGCTGCCACTCTGCGCCATGGGCACGGCCTCGCCGAGCTCAATGCCGAGGCCGTGCAGGACCAGCGCCGTCAAGCGCGGGCACTCCAGGAGGCCGAGCAGCAGCATGTCTCCCCTGGGCCCTCTCGCCGAACGCCAGACCTTGACTCGGGAACATCCGTCCATTCTCCCTCGTCTTCCTCGCCGTGCTCCCCCTTCTCCTCACCACTCTGCCGCATCAACCAGCTGCACAGAGAGGTGGCGACTGTTGCGAGCCTGGCAGCTCCCAGGGCAAGCGAGGACTCCTGATGTCTGCGTGGCTCACCACTCCGCTGCACCGCTCAGGGGCGCGGCGAAGTGGCGACAGCTGCACGCCTGGCAGCACCAAGGGCAGGGGAGAACTCCGTGGGTCTGCGTGCCCCCTTACTCCGAACCCACCAGGGGCGCAGCAACGTGGCGACAGATTGCAAGTCTGGCAGCACCCAGGGCAGGCGACGTCTCATCGAGTCCGCGTGTCTTCCCACTCCGCTGGGCACCCTCGAAAAGCCAAGAGAAGTGGCATCAGGCGCCCGCAGCTCGCAGGGTAAGCGAGGACACATCGGGTTTGCGCGATCCCACTCCGATGGCCCCCCCCCCGGGGAGCACGCCTGGCAACATCGAAGGGGAGCGAGGTACCGCTGGGCCCGCGTGTGTCAGCACTCCGCTGGCCTCCCCGGGGGAGCAGGAAAGCGGCGTCCGTTGTAGAAAACAAGGGAGACGAGGCGTCGGCGAGGGAAGCCAGAGACGAGCAGAGGGAAGCGTGAGACGCTGAGAGGGAGGAAAGAGGAGGCTTATCTCCAAAGCGAGGGCCCAAGGGTAAGCAGGGTTGGGAACGCACTCCCCTTCTCCAGAGACAACAACTCATCCTGACCCTCCTCCGCCTCTGCCTTCTGCTTCCTGCCCCCCCCCCCTTATCACCCAGAACCATTATGCGCATTATTTGTTCCAGCTCCAACATCATCCGCCATTCACCTAAAGTTTTGTTCAACGACTAGTAGACTAGTACCACGCCGCCAACGACTACGATTACCACTCCGACTACGACTAGTTCTGCTACTACTTCTACTTCTACTATCACTACTATCACTACTACTACGACTACTACTACTACTACTACTACTACTACTACTACTACTACTACTACTACTACTACTACTACTGTTACTACTACTACTACTACTACTACTACTACTACTACTACTAGTACTACTACTACTACTACTACTACTACTACTACTACTACTACTACTACTACTACTACTACTACTACTACTACTACTACTACTACTACTACGACTACTACTACTACTACTACTACTACGACTACTACTACTACTACGATTACTACGACTACGACTACGACTACTACTACTACTACTACTACTACTACTACTACTACTACTACTACTACTACTACTACTACTACTACTACTACTACTACTACTACTACTACTACTACTACTACTACTACTACTACTACTACTACTACTACTACTACTACTACTACTACTACTACTACTACTACTACTACTACTACTACTACTACTACTACTACTACTGCAACTACTACTATCACCAAGACTACGACCATAACTACTTTTCCGCCAACGGCTACCCCTACTACTACTACGGCTACGACTACAACGCTACAACATCTGCTAGTACGTGTCCACAGGCGACCACTAGAACACCTACAACTGCTACTACTAAGGCTACTGCAACTACTACTACTACTAACGCTCACACTACAACTACCACGGCTACGGCTATCAGTACCGCTACTACTAATAGTATTACGGCTCTGGATGCTGCTGCTACTGTTGCTTCCACAACTGCTACTACTACTACTACTACTACTACTACTACTACTACTACTACTACTACTACTACTACTACTACTACTACTACTAGGTAGCGCCGTGCCCGTCCGGGCCCCACGCCGTGCCCGTCCGGGCCCCGCGCCGTACGCCGTGCCCGTCCGGGCCCCGCGCCCCGCGCCGTGCCCGCCCAGGTCCCACGCCCCACGCCGTGCCCGTCCGGGTTCGCGCTTGCGCGCCTCAGGAATCCCTGAAGTGTATAAGCGCCTAGGAATCCTGAGGGAATCCTAAGGGAATCCTGAAATGCTAGCGAACCCGAAGGAACCCAAAGGAAACCTAGCGAATCCGAAGGAATCCGAAAGAATCCTAAGGAATCCTCAAGATTCCGACCGAATCCTCAGCGAATCCTACTGGAATCCTACAGAATCCTTTCGCAGACCGCGCGCCGTTCCCGTCCGGGTTCGCGCTTGCGCGCCTTAGGAATCCCTGAAGTGCATAAGCGCCTAGGAATCCTGAGGGGATCCTAAGGGAATCCTGACATGCTAGCGAATCCGAAGGGAATCCTAAGGAAACCTAGCGAATCCGAAGGAATCCTAAGGAATCCTCAGGAAGCCTACCGAATCCTCAGCGAATCCCAGAATGGAATCCTAGAGAATCCTTGCGCAGACCGCACGCCGTTCCCGTCCGGGTTCGCGTTTGCGCGCCTCAGGAACCCCTGAAGTGTATATGCGCCTAGGAATCCTGAAGGAATCCGAAAGGAATCCTGAAGGAATGCTAGCGAATCCGAAGGGAATCCTAAGGAAACCTAGCGAACCCGAAGCAATCCGAAGGAATCCTCAGGAATCCCACCGAATCCTCAGCGAATCCGAATGGAATCCTAAAGAATCCTCGCGCAGACCGCACGCCGTGCCCGTCCGGGTTCGCGCTCGCGCGCCTCAGGAATCCCTGAAGTGTATAAGCGTCTAGGAATCCTGAAGGAATCCGAAGGGAATCATGTAGGAATGCTAACGAATCCGAATGGAATCCTAAGGAAACGTAGCGAATCCGAAGGAATCCGAAGGAATCCGGAGGAATCCTCAAGCTTCCGACCGGATCCTCAGCGAATCCTAATGGAATCCTAAGGAATCCGTACGCAGACCGCACGCCGTTCCCGTCGGGGTTTGCGCTTGCGCGCCTCAGGAATCCCTGAAGTGTCTAAGCGCCCTGAAGGGAATCCTGAAGGAATGCTAGCGAATCCGAAGGGAATCCTAAGGAAACCTAGCGAATCCTAAGGAATCCACAGAATCCTCAGCGAATCCGAATGGAATCTTGCAGAATCCTTGCGCAGACCGCACGCCGTTCCCGTCCGGTCTCGCGCTTGCGCGCCTCAGGGATCCCTGAAGTGTATAAGGCGCCTAGGAATCCTGACGGGATCCTGAAAGAATGCTAGCGAGTCCGAAGGGATCCGAAGGGACCTAGCGAATCCGAAGGAATCCTAAGGAATCCTCCGTAATCCCACCGAATCCTCAGCGAATCCTAATGGAATCCTAAGGAAGCCTTGCGCAGACCGCGCGCCGTTCCCGTCCGGGTTCGCGCTTGCGCGCCTCAAGAATCCCTGAAGTGTATAAGCGCCTAGGAATCCTAACGGGATCCTAAGGGAATCCTGAAATGCTAGCGAATCCGAAGGGAATCCTAAGGAAACCTAGCGAATCCGAAGGAATCCGAAGGAATCCCCAGGATTCCATCCGAATCCTCAGCGAATCCGAATGGAATCCTAACGAATCCTTGCGCAGACCGCACGCCGTGCCCGCCCGGGTTCGCGCTTTGCGCGCCTCAGGAAACCCTGAAGTGCATGAGCGCCTGAGAATCCTTAAGGAATCCCAAGGAAATCCTGAAGGAATGCTAGCGAATCCGAAGGGAATCCTAAGGAAACCTAGCGAACCCGAAGCAATCCGAAGGAATCCTCAGGAATCCCACCGAATCCTCAGCGAATCCGAATGGAATCCTAAGGAATCCTTGCGCAGACCGCACGCCGTTCCCGTCCGGGTTCGAGCTTGCGCGCCTCAGGAATCCCTGAAGTGCATAAGCGTCTAGGAATCCTGAAGGAATCCCAAGGGGATCCTGCGGGAGTGCTAGCGGATCCGAAGGGAATCCTAAGGAAACCTAGCGAATCCTTAGGAATCCCATGGAATCCACAGGAATCCCACCGAATCCTCAGCGACTCCTAATGAAATCCTAAAAAATCCTTGCGCAGACCGCACGCCGCCCCCGTCCGGGTTCGCGCTTGCGCGCCCCAGGAATCCCTGAAGTGCAGTAGCGCCCAGGAGCCTAGGAATCCTGAAGGGATCCTAAGGGAATCCTGAAGGAATGCTAGCGAATCCAAAGGGAATCCTAAGAAATGCTAGCAAATCCGAAGGAATCCGAAGGAATCCGCAAGAATCCCACCGAATCCCCAGCGAATCCGAATGGAATCCTAAGGAATCCTTGCGCAGACCGCACGCCGTTCCCGTCCGGGTTCGAGCTTGCGCGCCTCAGGAACCCCTGAAGTGTATATGCGCCTAGGAATCCGGAGGGAATCCGAAGGGAATCCTGAAAGATTGCTAGCGAATCCAAAGGGAATCCTAAGGGAACCTAGCGATTCCGAAGGAATCCGAAGGAATCCTACCGAATCCTCAGCGAATCCGAATGGAATCCGAAGCCGCACGCCGTTCCCGTCCGGTCTCGCGCTCGCGCGCCTCAGGAATCCCTGAAGTGCATAAGCGCCTAAGAATCCTGAAGGAAGCCTAAGCAAATCCTGAAATGCTAGCGAATCCGAAGGGAATCCTAAGGAAACCTAGCAAACCCGAAAGAATCCGAAGGAATCCTAAGGAATCCCACCGAATCCTTAGCGAGTCCTAATGGAATCCTAAAGAATCCTTGCGCAGACCGCACGCCGTTCCCGCCCGGGTTCGCGCTTGCGCGCCTCGGGAATCCCTGAAGTGTATAAGCGCTTAGGAGCCTAGGTATCCTGAGGCAATCCTAAGGGAATCCTGAAGGAATGCCAGCGAATCCGAAGGGAATCCTAAGAAATGCTAGCGCGTCAGAAGGAATCCTAAGGAATTTTCAGGAATCCTACCGACTCCTCAGCGCACCTAAATGGAATCCCAAGGAATCCTTGCGCAGACCGCGCGCCGTTCCCGTCCGGGTTCGCGCTCGCGCGCCCCAGGAATCCCTGAAGTGTATAAGCGCTTAGGAATCCTAAGGGAATCCAAAAGGAAACCTAAAGGAATGGTCGCGAATCCGAAGGGAATCCGAAGGAAACCTAGCGAATTCTAAGGAATCCGCAGG